TCACTGCCCATTTACCTTCTGGTAAGTACAAAAGACGACACTGTATCTTTGCTGAGGTGTCAACGTTGCAGGGAACACAGCGCCCAGACGGCCCTTTGAGACGCCGGTTTCCTGCCCTTTGGGTGCCCACCCAGTCCTGGGACCGCGGCCCTCACGGTACTCCCATCTCTCTGTCCTCGAAAGTCCTCCCTGCGATTTTCCACAGTGGCTGAACCAACTCACAGCCCCCGGGAGAGTGTAAATGGTGAGATCCAGAGATGAGGTGGGTGTCTGGAGGAAAAGTTACAGCCACACTGCAGAAGCACGCCTTTCTCCAGCTCCTCCCCTCCCCTTGACCACACCGCACCCCTGCGCCACTTTCCGACACAGCTCAGGAAGCCCCCTCCATCAGCATCTTCCTCCTCTGTCAGCCTCTTTCTGTGGCTGTCTCCAGCTCCTAAACAGATTCAAGATGCTTCCAGAAAACTCTGCCAACTGAAAACATCGGGACGCAGTCTCCATCCTCCTTACTCACCAGACCTGGCACCGTGCGAATTCAGGTTCTTTCCAAAGTCAAAATGACCAGCCAAGGTGAACATTTTCGGGTAATTCAGGACATCAGGACAGCCCAACAGCACAAGTTGAATAAAGACACACACGGAAAAGGACTTCTGGGGTGCTCAGGACGGGGCAAGGACAGATGAGTGCATCTGAAGCCACCTGGGGAGAGGGCCAGGGATTGACTCCGAGGGCATTAAGGACAACGCACTCTTCAGGGTAACAATTCCTGTGCAATGCGGGCATCCACTGCAGTTGTCACCATGCCCTGCACAGGGCCGCTCCTTCCTCACACACTCTCCTGTGCTCCCCTTCCAGCTCTTGGGTAACAACCCTTTCAGCCATGGACAAAGGGGCAACACCACCTCACCCATTAAAGGGCACCTCCCTTCTCCTCCCTCCTCCTCCTCCTCCTGCTGCATCTGGACAGCTCATTCCCAGAGCCCCTGCAGTGCCCAGGTGCTCCCCTGAGGAGCCTCAGCTCAGCCATCCCAGCCACAAGCCAGGTTTCAGGGAAGCTGAGTCCAGACTATTGCATATCCTCGAGCGCCCCCTCCTGGCTCTCACGTCCGTGGCTTCTCCCTGGACAGCAGAGGGCCTCTCCTCAACATCCTGTCTCCTCACTGAGTGGTGCCTCCCTGAGTGAGCCATGCCAAACACAGATGGCAGATGTCACAATGCAGGGCACATTTTCCTAACCCCAGGAGCCATGTCCTGTAAGAAATGTCCATGCAGTGCCTTTGCTTTTCTCCAGGTTTTTGAACGCAAATACATTTAGATTACACCCTGTATACTGTGAACGCTGTATTTCAAAACATTTCTAGCATTTTTAAATTATGTGCAAGACTGGGTATTACTGCCTTCACCAGAAAAGCTTCTTTTTAATAATTTTGAGTGTGAGCGACTCTGTTGGATCCAAACCACAGAAGATTCCGTGGTCATCGGGTCCAGTCCACTGTCCTAATTTGTCAGCCAGGTAGCCCAGTGTCTCTCCCACCAGTGTGGCGCAGGGTCACTTGCAGATTCAGCAAAGCATATGCCAGGGATTCCCCTGGCATCTTCCTGCCCGTCTGTCCTTTGCTGGGATCCCCACACCCCGCCCAGTGCGCTTCAGTGCTGGACTCTGCCCTCTGCTCCTGCAGCTGGAAGCACGCGCTCCTGCATCAGTCACCCCACGGGGCACCCGCCCTCAGGAGCAGAGCCTCACCCCATGTCTCCCCTCACCCCAGGATCTCCCAGTCAGCAGCTGGTGGGTGTCTCTCATCTCAGCTCTCTGTGCAGTCCTGCGGGGTGCTGCCCAGGGAGGACAGACAATGCGATTCCTGGCCCACGGGCCTGAGTGCCTCCTGAGTCCTCTCCAGATCCCCTCTGCCTTCCTCCTCCTCCTGCTGCATCTGGACAGCTCATTCCCAGAGCCCCTGCGGTGCCCAGATGTTCCCCTGAGGAGCCTCAGCTCAGCCATCCCAGCCACAAGCCAGGTTTCAGGGAAGCTGGGTCCAGACTATTGCTTATCCTCAAGCGCCCCCTCCTGGCTCTCACTTCCATGGCTTCTCCCTGGACAGCACAGGGCCTCTCCTCATCTGTCCTCTCTGAGCCATGCCTAACACAGATGGTGGATGTCACAATGCAGGGCACATTTTTCTAACCCCAGAAGCCGTGTCCTGTAAGAAATGTCCATGCGGAGCCTTTGCCTTTCTCCAGGTTTTGGAACACAAATACATTTAAATTACACCCTGTATACTGTGAACCCTGTATTTCAAAACATTTCTAGAATTTTTAATTATGTGAAAGACTGTGTATTACTGCCTTCATCAGAAAAGCTTCTTTTTAATTATTTTGAGTGTGAGAGACTCGGTGGATCCAAGCTACAGAAGATTCCGTGGTCATCGGGTCCAGTCCATTGTCCTAATTTATCAGCAATGTGTTCCTGCTGGTCTGTCCTTTGCTGGCATCCCCAACCCCGCCCAGTGCGCTTGAGTGCTGGACTCTGCCCTCTGCTCCTGCATCCGGAAGCATGCACTCCTGCATCAGTCACCCCACAGGGCACCGCCCTCAGGAGCAGAGCCTCACCCCATGTCTCCCCTCACCCCAGGATCTCCCAGTCAGCAGCTGCTGGGGGTCTCTCATTTCATCTCTCTGTTCAGTCCTGCGGGGTGCTGCCCAGGGAGGACAGACAATGCGATTCCTGGCCCACAGGCCTGAGTGCCTCCTGAGTCCTCTCCAGATCCTCTCCGCCTTCCTCCTCCTCCTGCTGCATGTGGACAGCTCCATTCCCAGAGCCCCTGCGGTGCCCAGATGCTCCCCTGAGGAGCCTCAGCTCAGCCATCCCAGCACAGCCAAGTTTCAGGGAAGCTGGGTCCAGACTATTGCTTATCCTCAAGCGCCCCCTCCTGGCTCTCACTTCCATGGCTTCTCCCTGGACAGCAGAGGGCCTCTCCTCCTCATCCTGTCTCCTCACTGAGTGGTGCCTCCCTGAGTGAGCCATGCCTAACACAGCAGCATCCGAGTCCTTCCATAAGCAGAGCGGCCACCGCACAGCACACGTGTGGCCAGGCAGGTAAAGAACCCCGCTCCTTCCTTGCTCCTGCTCCTAGCTGGCCTGAGCTGTAATCTCTGGAACTTTCCATGAGATCAAATCTTAGTCCTCTGGAATTCAAGGCTGGCCACCATCTTGTGACACCATTTCAAAGACAGGCCACCCAGGTTGGACCCAATCGTCACTCTCCCGTAGAGAAAAGGGGTCACTAGCAACCAGCACTGCCTCTGGAGGAGAAAGTGCTGAGTTTAGTGACACCTTCTGATCTGTGTCACCCCCAAACTCCGAGCTTTTCCTAATTTTCCCTGTGAGCTGCACCAGGGGGTGCTGTTGATCCGTAACGACCTGCAGGCTCGAGGGGGTTTGGAGCAGGACCTGTCCTCACAGGGATTGGGGCACTGGTTTTCTCTGTGTGTCCGTGCCAGGCAGCAAGTTTTCTATCCAAAGCTCCATCCTGTTTCACAGGCTACCTGAGCGCTGGAAGGAGCGTTCAGAGCAATGCCGTGGGTGGAACCGTGCAGCTCCTGCCATGACTGGGACTCTGGGCCGGACAAAGGTGCACAGAACGAGCTGGTCCTGTCACAGTACCACTGCTGACCTGGACCGACCCCGATCAGAAGCGGGGCTGTGGCCGAGGAGGCTGACTGCCGACTTCCGGAGGAGGTGACTGATTAATACGTCCGCTTAGACTTGTGCTGTGTAAACTCAAAACCTTTGTTCCTCAGGAGCAGGGACTATAAAAGAGAAAGCTGAGCCAAAACTCAGGGGCGGAGAGATCAGTGTGACAGGTGCACGCGCCATAGTTCAACACCGAAGACGCCAGAGTCTGTCTCATCTGACTGCTCCTTTGGTGGTGGCTTTGGCCACACAGTGCTCCCCAGCGGGGTCCCTGAAGGTGGGGGCCTGGCCACAGGGGTCACCCACAAGTGCCTATGAGGTGCTCGCCACGGAGGGAGGGCCTCAGCCGTGCAGCCGGGACTCAGCCACTGAAGGGACAGGGACACAGCTGCATAAGTGACATGTGATGCTGTGTGTCCCTGGGTATTTTGGTAAGAGTGGGTTACAAGTAACAAGAGAAGCAGCCCCAAATTCCAGGGGCTTACAAAGGCCAACATTCAAAGTGTCTGGGGTCCATTGCTGTTTGGTGGAGGAAGGTGCTCCTGAGATTCCTCAGGGCCCGAGGATGGGGTGGCCTCCACCTTAGTGGAATCATTGGGTTCACTGCGGTGCCAGGATTAAATCCGCCCTGCTAACTGGCCATGCAGACAGCTCCCTGCCTCACTGTCTCTGGGGTGAGGGCCACACCCAGCTGCTGAGCAGCAGAGTGACTGTGGAATGTTCAGGAAGCCGCAGCTTGGGTGACAAGACACAGGGTGTGCAGGAAACAGAACAGGCAATAATTCAGGAAACTGCTGCTCAGAGAATGGCCCACGGGGTCCCCGCAGCCACATCGCCTGTTGGCTTTGGAGAAAGGCAGAGCAGGAGGCCCCACCCAGTCCGCTGGCTTGGATCAACACTTTAACAAGTTCTCTGGGGAATGTGTGCACACAGCCACATCACGGAATTGTCTGGTTAGAGCAGGGGTCCTGAATCCCCGCTCTGCTGATTTCCAGCTCTGTGATTGTAGATGATCTACCTACCCTCTGATCTCACGCTGTCTGCAAACGAGTTGGGGAAGACAAATAATGCTGCAGGGTGACTACAGGAAAGAAGTAACACCTTCAGATTACTCAGGACAGCGTTGGGCAGGGCGAGGGATCTGTGCATGGGAGAGGGGGCGATGGTGATGGTGGTGACGGTAACCATGGTGACTGCAGAGAGGAAGCGGTAACGGGGACGAGGATGACAGTGAGGATGATGATGATGATGATGGTGGTGATGACAGGGTAGTAAACACAGTTCCAAGAAGTCAATGAGACACATTCACTACCAATCTAATCTGAAGCTTTATTCGCCCAGGTCCTATGGTACAGCACCATTTCCTGACCCTGAGCCCAACCAGGAGGGTGAAATCTCTGGGTTCTGCTCACAAAGGTGAGAAGCGTGGGCAGGCACCACTTGGGAAACAAGAGGAGGACCAGGCATGGGCATCTGAGTATCTGTCTGCCAGTCATCCTCAGGGGCCGCAGTCACCTGCTCCAGGCCCCTTGCCCAGAGGAGCCATGCCCATGTCTCCCTCCAGGGATGTTAAACGCCATAGAGGCTGAGCTGAAGCAGAGGCGCTGAGCAGCACGGTGGCTGCGAGCTCCACTTGTCTGCACAGCCCAGCGGCAGTGACGGGGCATCCATTCTTCAGTGCCTTCTTCAAAGAGCGGAGACAGCAAGCGTCACCAGGCACCAAAGTGACCTAGCAAGTGAGACTGATGCAGGTCACCCAGATACCTGGTGCAAGGAACAGACACACCTGGACACAGACCAGCCTGGACACAGACCAGCCTGGACACAGACCGGCCTGGTGATGGCTGTGAACACAGGCTTTGAGGCTGGATCACCTAGGTTCTGTTGGAGTTCCACCCGGTCCCAGCTGGATGACCGTGAAGAAGCCGTCTCACCCCTTGGGCGTCCGTCTCCCTGCCTGTAAACCAGAGATAACAAGCATATGTATCTCGAGTGTGGCTGGCAGAATTACTTGGCAATTAGCAAGCGCCTAATAAATGCTAATAGTTACCGTCATCATTCCCATCAGTACAGAAGTGAGCTAAAGACAAAATGTGTGAGTCCCGAGGTCCTCATGAGTCAAATGGGGCCAATAAAGCACGGGTCTGTGGATGTTCTTCACTGAAGGAGGCTTTATCTTTGTGCACAGACTGTGGAACGGGTGGCCGGACATTGTCCTCCACGGAGCTGATGCAGGACAGGAAATCAGCAAGTACGCACCTGTGTGGTCTCCAGAGAATTCCCCCAAGATAGCTGCATCCTCATTGGAAGGTGCCCCCCACCCAGCCAGCCTGAGCCCCTAAAGAAGACACCGCGTGCAAGGCTGTGGCTCGTGCCCACGCAGCCCCGACTGTAACTCGGGTCGGGCCACGCAGCTGCTTCTGAGAGCTGACCCTCAGCACCCTCCCCACCACACGCTAACAAGCAAGCTAGCCTTCCTTCCGAGCCTTTGATCCCCGCTCTGTATAGCCCAGCCTGCCCCACCTGCGAGAGGGCACCCCAGATGCCCAGCTCCCAGCAACCCGCTTCCTCTCCAGGCTCCACAGCGACCCATCAGCAGGTCCTGCGTGCGCCACCTTGAGCAGCATCACTAGCTGGCCCTGGTCACTTGATTCTGTTTTCTGACTTGGCCTCAGTGCTATGGGCTCCTAACTGGATTTCGTGTACCTTTGCTGCCCCCTGCAGGCCACAGGCGGCACATTTGAAAAGAGGATGAGAAACCAGGCTCCTGGCCTTGGGGCTTCTGGCTCGCCAAAGGTTGAGAAGCCTGGCTTCCAGAAACCCACCCGCTTTCCCTAGACCTGAACCCAGGTCAAACTCTGCCCTTCCCCGCTTCCCTTCCATTCACAACACACCCCGCTGTCTCCGGGTGGCGTCCACGCGTGTTTATTTATTCTTTCTTCTGCCCGATAACATAAGACCCATGAGTTTAGGGCCTCTGCCCCTGTGCCCACGGCTACACCGTGGAATACGGGCTGGCACAGGGCAGGTGAGTGACAGACATCTTCGAAGGAATGCATGCGAGGCAAAGGGCCACGCTTGCCTCTGCCCTGAGTGTCAGTCATCACAGGGAATACTTGAGCTGACCGCCGGCCAGCTAAGAACCACGCAGCCCTCACTGGGTGGCTCCTTCCCAGGGTCCCCGGGGGAAGAAGTGCCCTGGACAAGTCAGCAAGTGCCACCTCTGGTCTGCTGCCAGCTCACCGTCTGGAACTTGAGCACCAATGACAGAGGCTGGGGTGGCCCCGGGTGCCTGGGGCAGGGCAGCTCCCCACTCTCCGGGACTCCTCGCTTGGCATCTCCCTGATGGGCTCCCTGTGCCTGTGTCCGCGTCCTCGGGGAGTCCAGCAACAGCCTTTGAGGGGATCCGCCTCCTCCGATGTCCCCTAGGGATCTCAGGAGAGCATCTGGAAGTCATTAAAGACAAGGAGTTAGTGATTTGGAGTTTGGGGAATAACATGACTCTAAAAATAAATAAATACAGGAAACTTTAGTGGCCACGGTCCTCCAAGGTGGCACTTCATTTGTGCGGGTTTACCAAAGATAAATCGACCACCTGGGCTGTTTGTCAGCTGGGTTTGGGTGGCTGACTGGCCAAGACCGCCTCCAGCGATGGATGAACTGAGGTCCGCAGAAGGAAGTTCCGGGTTCCTGGGTGTCTCCCGCACCTTGGGGGGTGGGGGGGGTGGACTGCGCCCTCTTCAGGCAGCACGACGCAGAGGCGATCTCCCGCTCTTTTGTAAAATTCTCTCCTTGCTTTGAACCGCGGTGCCTTTTGCTGTGATCTCTCCAGTTCCCTCCTGATTGCATCCTTTGCACCGCGGAGCCCTCAGCCCAGGAGCTGCACTGGGCTTTGCAGTAGGGAGCGCCCTGTTGGGCGCCAAGAGAGACAGAAAGGCTGCGGAGAGGAGGGGCGGCAGCGTGCGAGGCTCTAGGGACCCTTTGGGGGCTTCCATTTCTTGTTCCCATGAGAGGGAGGGAGGACAAGGTCCCAATCCCTCGGTTACAAATGAGAGGCTCGGCAGGGCTCCCTGACAGCGGGAGGCCAGCGCATTTACATGACAACTAGTTACTCCTCGGTGGCTGGGTTCAAGACATGGGCCTTCCGCAGAAACCCGAGTCTACACACGCAGCACGCTCCGGAAGACGCGTCTACACCTGCAGAGGGATCCGAAGAGCTGGACAATTACACAGCACGAGGAGCCACTTAAAAAGACAAGTCGCCTCCATCCAGCCTATGGGAGCCCACCGGGCAGCTTCCTTTTTGGCCCCGTGGCTTCTTGGCTGCCTGCAGCGGGCACCTTCTCCACTGCCAGGCCCGGGAACCCCAACCCGCCAGGCCAGGGCGCCCTCCAGAGCCAGGGTCCCACAGCTTCTCCTGAGCTCAGCTGGGGTCCCCGAGGTTGCTTAGCTGGGCCCTTACACCCACTCTCCTTCACCAGCAGTCCCGGGGTTTTTCTTTTGCTAGGAAGCCTTTCGTGGTGGGTTGGTGACCGCTTTCTCCAAGGACTTGCCCGGTGGGTGCCAGGGGCAGAAGGGACCCCTGGCGCCGCCGTGGAGCTGGGAAGCCCAGCTGCCTTCGCTGCCGAGGCCGGAGGAGTTGCCGCTGCCCATGATGCGAACCCAGCTAGCGAGCGCCCAGCATCGGTCGCCGCGGATGCGGTGGGATCTGCGTGGCGGAAGGGAGCGCAGGGAGCAGCAGACAAGGCCACGAACCGAGAATCCTCGCGTGATCCCGCCGCGGAATCCGGGGCGTGTGCGCGCGCGTATCCGCGTGCATGTCTGCACGTGTGAGTGCGCGCGCGTGGGGGGGGGGCAGGAGCTCATTTTGTAACCCCAACCGGTTGCACATGGGCGGGACGCGCACCCGCAGGACAAAGGCAGTGCAAGGAAAAGTGACCCTGCTTGCCCCGCCTCGCCCCTCCCAGGGACTCGGGCACCGCGTGTCACCCACACGCGAGGATCGCACGCGCGTCCCCGCTTGGCACGCGCTTCCCCGCGGAGTACCAGGAGACCATACCGTGGCCTCCGCGGCGTCCCGGGTCTGGAACTTCAGGCCGCCGGAAGTTGAGCAGGGCACAGGGACCCCAGACCCTGCGGTGACCACCGGGGAGCCAGGGACGGCGGGTCCAGCCGCGTCGTGGGTGGCGAGCCCTGGGCAGGACCAAGCCGGGAGCGCGCAGGTCTCTGGCAGGAGGCTGCAGAGGGGGCGCTGCAGGGCGGACTCAGGGTCCCCAAGTGCCACCGCCTCGCACTCCGCCCTTTTCCAGGCTCGGGGGCGGGGCCGGGCTTGCTGGGGGCGTGGAGGGGCGGGGCCAGAAGACCAGGCCACCGGGGCAGGGTCTAGCGGTGGGCGGGGTCTAGCGGTGGGCGTGGTTTGTCGGTGGGCGGGGCCGGCGGCCGCGGCGGAGCTGGAGAAAAGTTGTCCAGCGCGCAGCGCGAGCAGCCCGGCAGCACGGACCCGGGCGCGGACGCGGAGACGCAGCGGCCTGGTCGTGGCCCGGGCCGGGCATGGGGAGGCCGGCGGGAGCTGCGGTCGGGCGGGGCAGCCCGGGACGGCGGCGGGCGGCGTGACGGCGGCAGGATGCGCTCCGAGGGCGCGGCCCCCGGGCCCGCGGCGCCGCTGTGCGGGGCGCTGAGCCTGGTGTTGGGCGTGCTGCTGGGCAGAGGTGAGACGGGGCGCGGCCGCGGAGGGGACCCCAAAACTGGGCACGGGAGGGATCCACAGCTGGCGCGGAAGGAACCCTACACCCAGAGGTTAGGTCCCCAAAGCTAGGGGCAAAGGGCACCCCAAAACCAGGCACAGAGACGACCCCACAGTCAGCGAGGAGTGGGCTCCCGCATCCGGTGAGTGGGGACTCTACGGCAGGGCGAGAGGGGGACAGCGGCGAGGCCCTATCCATTCTGCCCGCCTCCGCGAGACTGTCAGCCCCTTCCAGGAAGGCAGGACCGGCGCCCGGCGCTGGGGAACTTAGGTTCGGATCCTCATACCCAACCCCAGAGCACCCGGGACCGGGGCTGCCTTGGGCGAGGAGGGGCGTGGCTGGGCGCTGGTTGCAGTCTGGACCCCAGTGCCAGGTGATCCCCCCCCCTCCCCTGCCGCGCTCCGCACCGTCACGCTGGGAGCTGCCTTGCACGATCCTGCCCCCCTTTCCTCCTGCTGAGCGCGCCCTGTCCCCAGCTCAGACTGAGTGGCAGAGGACCTAGGACGCAGCCCCGGCCCTTGACACCTCCTTTTACCAACCGTGTATTGGAGCCCACTCTCGGTCGCCGCACCCCTGGTCGGGCCCCCAGGGTTGGTTGCCGGGAAATCAGGACTCTCTCAGGTGCCCCGAATGAGGACCGCTGTGTTTCTGGGCGCGCCAGGGAGGCGAGTTTGCGTCTTGTGTCCAGAGAGGGCTTCCCTCAGCTGTATCCCCAGAGGGTTTTCCCCTTGGTCACCTAGTCTAAACCACTAGGATGACTCTGCCTTAGGCTTGGGGGTTGCATTGCAGGAGCTGAATTGGGGCGCCCAGAGGGCCCCCCAGAGATCCTGTTGTCATTACCAAGACCTCACTGATGCTGAGCCTGGGGGTGGGGCGAGAGGGGTGGTCCCCACCGAGCCGCAGGAGCAGCTGGGTGCCCTCTCCGCAGAGACCTTGGCTGGGCCCCGCAGCAGCTGCCCGAGTCCCGGGGCGCGGTCAGGCAGCAGAGAAAGCAGTGTCGCCTTGCTGCTGCCACCGAGCTCTGACTGAGGTCTTGGTCCCACTGAAGGACAGGTGCGCGCCTGTGTCCGGAGCTCCGGAGCTCCGGAGCCTTAAGGGAGCAGACGCGGCTGGGCACAGCCCGGGGCTCAGAGTGCACAGAGAAACCTCAGATCCACCCCGATCGAAAACCGCGATCTCCTTCCCGCCTAGAGCTCCAGGCTGGGCTGGAAATGCATCGGGAAAGACAAGTTGCCAATTGATGTTAAAAAGTAGGGCTTGCTTTTCAGAAGTTATTATGCACCGTCTGAGATTGCGGGAAAATCTGTTTCCCCTGAGAGAACTGCTTCCCAGCTCCAACTGGGCAAGGGTGAGGTGCTGTGTGCCACCCCGGGGGGCTGCTGTTGTGTTTCAAACCCAAACATCCTGGAGCTTGCACGGAAATCTGCTGTTTGCTCTTGATCAGGTTTTCCAAGGCTCCTTTCCGTGCATGTAAAGTGACCATTGGAGATCCTTTCTCAGTATACTTCCTTCTGATGCCAAACCTAGTGCCTAGGACACTGCTTTGGGGACAGCTCTTACTGGGGTCCTAGCGTCCTCAGGGGATGTAACAATCAGGTGAGGAAGCCAAAGGGGCCTTTTAAACCAAGCTGTGGACTTTCTTTCTTGAAAGCTGAGATTGTGTGTGTACAGTTTTGATTTAGAGTTGATATCCACACCGAGTGCAGGGGTAGCAGTTTAGTGGATCTGGGACCCACTGGATTATGAAGGAGGGGATGGGGAGATGGAGGTGATGGGGTACAGGACCCCTGCCTGTCCAAGCCCACTCCAGCCAGGCTTAGAGCTACCTGGACCAAGTGTGCTTTTCTCCTATGATCGATGTGGGTGCTGATACCCTGGTCTGAGTGTCCAGGGATCTGTAACACATCTGCAAAATGGTTTTTTGGCCGTTTATTTCTCATCACCCAAAAGAGCAGTTCCCTTCCAGCTCTGATTCCTCCACAGGTAAAACGTCAGCCCCTGAGATATCTACTAAAAGGAACATGCTCTGAGCCTTGCTCGACCGTGTAAATGTCTTAAGAATATGTGAGTAAGACCATCTCTGACTTCTCCGTTGCAAGAATCAATGCTGGTTTCTGGAATCACTGAGGCCTCTGGCCTACTTTTAATACCAACTGTATGTTCATTTTTGACTGAGGTTCTAGACATTTTGCAATTTGCCAGAGTGTGGAAAACACATAATTGTTCTTGGGAGTTTCCATACATAGGACAGAGCATCGAAAGGAGAGAATCTTCTACTAGGATTTAAGATTGAAATAGCAGAAGCAAGGTCTCCTCGTGTCAGGGACTGATGAACTGGGCCATGTGAGGCCATGGAGCAGGGGTGTGGAGCCTAGATGCACTGGGAGTGGTGTCATCACTGGTGGGACCGTGCCGTACAGGACCACGATCTGTGCTCTGCATGAAATGGTTTGCAGGTCTGGAATGACTGAGATCTTTGGAAGGCAGAGCAAGGAGGTCGTGTTGTGTCTCATCACACGCTCACGCTGTTCACACCTGTGTCCCATCCGCACACTGTCCATTGTGCGTGTTGGTGGTTTTGCCATTATGCAGGTGTCTTCACAGGGAGGAGGAGGGTGAAGGCCCAGTACAGCCGCCCCTCACCCCAGGCCAGGCTTGGCCATCCAGTGAATTAATTTCAGGCAGCCAACCAAACCTTTGGCTTCCAGTGCCTCAGAAATGTGGGCTTCTGATGAGGGTTGGGGGGCTGCTGCTGTGAGGAGGAGGAGGAGGAGGTGGAAGAGGTGCAGGTTTTAGGGAGGAGAGGTCCTTCAGGCCAGCTGTGCCCTGACCTCTCTGCCCTACACCAACATGCTGGCCACTGTGCCCTGCACAAACCACCACACACCTATACATAGCCACACACACGCATGCACACACATGCACATGCATGTACACATATGAACACACGTGTACACACATGCCCATGCACCTTTTCCTGATCCATCCCCTCCTGACCCTCAAGTTGAAGCACCGGTCTGGCTCCCTCTTCTGAGGGACATTTGTGCTTCTTGGAAGCCTCTCAGGTAAACTGTCAGGCCCTGGCCTGTGGGTTCTGCCTTCACCCTAACCTTCTGGCTGGTGTTTGCGAACTGCACCATCTACAGGCAGGGGCTGTTTTGTGCCTGTGGTGTTTCCAAAAAGCAAAGCGAAACAAAACAAAAATGCTCAGCTCTCAGTGTTTGCAGCAGGAGGACACTGAACCTCCACACGTCTGTGTGTCAAAACATCGTGCTCTGTTCCGTCATACTCACAGCTTTCATGTGTTGATTTTTTAAGATTCCGTTCTCAGTTTGCTGGGAGTCAAGTAGAATTTTATCAGACACTATCCTAGATCCACCGGGATGTTCAGACAAGTGATCTTTATCTGGCAAAAATAATCAGGGTCCTAACTGCACTTAAAGGCAGGGCATCGCCTCACCTGGCCAACAGCTGCATACTCCACACTGCTGCCTTTTGCACTGGTGCCAAGCAGCTGTGACCCTCTGGAGAGGGTGCCTATTCGGCTCTTCTCCCTGGCTACCTCCCAGCCTGGTCTGGCCCAGCCCATGGAGTTTGAGCTTTCCCTCTTCCCTTTCTCCCTTCTTTCACCCCTCTCAGTGCTTATCACAAGGGAGGGGCCACTGAGAACCCTGGGATCTGAGGTGGGGAGCTCTTCCACGCGTGGAGGGAAAAGGGAACCCCTGGGCATCTTGGAAACCTCATATGCCTGTCATCATGAAGAGCAAGGCTAATAAAAGTGACTCTCCCATGTGTGAATTGGCGTGAGGAGGAATATTACTGAATTGATGGAGTAAATGCAGTGTCAGGTGGATGGAATTTTTTTACAGAAACTTGCCTTGTTCCAAAGTTGGGCTTCTGATGGCCCCATTTCATGCAGGGAAATCCACCCTTTGCAAGTGTATGGTTCTAAGTGGTGACACAGGCACGCGGTCGGGGAAACATCACACACAGAAAGTATCAGCATCTCCTCCTCACCCCTTGGCCACCTGCTTCCTCTGCCCCAACCCCGAGCAGCGCCGATGTGGCCTTTGACTCTGGACTTTGGTCACTTGCACTGTGCCCTGGACATGGGCCTGTGCAGGCTGCAGCCTTCCAGTTGGCTGCCTGTGCATTTGTGACATGGCTCTGTCCCTCACTTTGCACCATCCTTTGCTCCTCTTTGATCTGAACTCTATTCCACAGCATGGATGCACTGCAATTTGTCTTCCCAGTAGGACACTGGGAGGTGTTGGTGACCGGGGAAGGAGTGGCCATAATCCTCCCAGAAGGGCTTTGCTGGGCACACCCTTGCGTTTCTCACGGGGATGCTGTTTATATAGCTGCACTGCAGACTCCTTTACAGCATGGCTCTGGCTCTGCCTCCCGCCTGTGTGTCCAAGATGTCTTGTGTCCCCTGCAGCACTCCGTGTTCTTCTGTGTTGCTGGCCCTTCTGCCAGACAGTAGGAGGATTTCCCGGAGTTCCGTGCTCCACCCTCATGGCCCTGCTGCAGATCCCCCTTGTGTTTAATTTCCACTTCCGTGGCTTCTTTGGTGAAATGTCTTTTCCAGCACTGTACCCATGTTTTAATGGCTATTTGTTTATTTATTATTGATCCTTGAGAGCACTTTATATATTCTGGGTGCAGGTCTGTTCTCAGGTCATTTTCCAATTTTCTCCCAGCAAGTGTCTTTGGAAAAGCAAAGATTTTAATTTTAATGAAGTGGAGATTATTAACACTCCGTTTTCATGTTTGTGCCATTGGTATCAAATCTATGTGATCTTCACCTAAGCCACGATCAAATGTTTCTCGATGCCTACAATGTTGGTCAGGTCTCTGCATTCCTGTTAACAGTTCTGTTAGCTCACTGAGAGGGGAGATTCAAAATCTCCAAGAAATTGTGACTTTGCTCATTTTTCATTTCCATTCCCCCAACTTGCGCT